TACTTTGCAGTAATTACTTTGATTAAAATTCCAACCTGTCACTTGCCTGGTTTCTTTAAGGCAATAAGTGGGTCTCCAGGAGGAGTCCCCAGAGCTGCGGTATCAACATCCACTGGGAACTTGTTGAAAATGCACATTCTTGGTCCCTCCAGCTCCAGGAACCAAAAGCTCTTTGGGGACTGGCTTCAGCAATCTGTTTTTGATGCACAGTAAAGGCTGAAAATCACTGCTTTAAGGCATGGATTTCCCTAACTGCACCTCTTCCTCTGAAAACAAAACAAAAAACAACTCTGAATCTTAACCTCGGGGTACATATTCAGAAAAATCTCTGCCTTCTGATGTCTTTCAGGCATTTCTTGCTCTTCCAGAGTCTTACTTACACCTTCTTCCCTCACACAAGGCTAGAGGTTAAGAATGTGTACAAGTGTCTTCCAGATAGCTTTCTTTTTCTCCTATCTGTGCCTCAGACTCCTCATCTGTAAAATGTGGATGTAATATTAGTATACATCTCAAAGGGTAGTTGAGGATTGAACTATTTGATATGCGTAAAGTTCTTACAGTTCTTACAACTATGCCTGGTACAGTACAAGCAATATACAATTTTAGAGGTTACTTGTGATGTAGTTGTAATGAGTTCTGCTTTACCAAGGATCAGTAGGTAGGGTTAGCTTGGAATGTACGAATTTTAAATATCTGAAGTAATTTCTAAGAGATCAGAAAGTTGTCATTAACCTTCCTCAGCTTGCCTCTTGGCTCCCCCTTATTCAATATCAAAAGTGTTCCCCTCTGTGCTTCTTGTTAATGAGGGTCCACGACATGGCCACAGACAGCAGGGAAGGGGCCTGACTTTAGAAGAGCACTCAAGTCAACCTTTTAAGTCCTTCCCTGAATTCTCTTTCCTGCTGTTCAGAGGACCTTCCTTGGAAGAGTCCTATGGTGATAGAGGGAAGCATGAAGCCATGAAACTCCATTTTCTTCTAAAACACAGCAACATCATGAGGATAATAACTTTCCTCAACTGACTCGATTGTTTCATCAGTTTCTCTGTTGTTAGGTTCTGAGAACCAAACAAACTGTGAGCCATCTTTGCCCACTTAGAGAGATGGTTTTTCCTCAGTTACTCTTTTCTGTTTCCACTCATGCCCATAAGGGAGTCCAGGTTTAAGAGCAAGTATACTAGATCATGGCCACTCACCTGGGGCAGGATTACCCAAGGTACAGGTTTTCCAAGGACTGTGTGACCAGGGCACTGAGAGCGTGTTCTGGCCCAGAGAGTAGTTTTGGATTGATCTATTTCAAAGTCCACCCTTGCTCAAGCCTGTGGTCATTTGCACTGGTTTTATACACCCTCAACCTGCAGTGGTTGGTCCTATACGGGGATAATGATAGAATTCAGGAAATGCACTTCAAAGATCTCAAATTCCCTAAAACTGACTAAGTGCCTGAGGTCACAATGTAATTCTGCATCTCCCTTCTGACAGCTCCCGCTTCACACATCGTCCAGGAGAAAACCTTGTTTCAGTTTCTTTGAAACCTCCATCACCTGACTGTCATGGAACAGAGTATCACTCTTGAAGGAGAGTCCCACAGAAGCATAGCAGAGCAGCACTAGAGACAATGGCACATGATCGCATCAGGAATAGATTCATGGCAAAGCCAGGGCCTTTTCCATCTTGAGTTAGAACTCAGACATGAGATATGTTCTAACAGAGGGCACTGGGATTTAGCATATTAAAGCAAACAGTATTTTGTATTTTCCCGACATTTCAGAGTGTATTGGGTTAAACAAGATACTTCCAGTAAAAGAATAACATCTTTTTAGAGTCATTTGATAAGGCCTGGTAAAATGTTATCATACACTTTCCAGATACTGAGAAATTGAATGAATCTAATACTGGGTTATAAACCCCTTTGCAAGTCAGATATTTTCTAATTCATTGTGTTAAAAGAAATTGAAAGAGGAATTAATTGATTTGTCAGCTGCTAGATCATTAAAATTATCTTTGAAGTTATATTACTATGTGATTTTTGGCATATATCTTGGAAAGCATTCAACTAATTGAATGGCACTGCTATGCACAATTTTCATTTCCATCTTCTTATGTGAACAAGGCTTCTCTAAAAATGAAAGTAGAAATAAAATTGATCCTGAGTTCCATCTCATTCTAGCAGTAAGTGATATTTATCTATGGCATTTTAAAAAGGGGCTATCCACCTAATCAAAAGCTATATTTCTAGTAAGTTTACTTTTTCATGTTTAATTATTACTTAACGAAATGTGCTATGTATTTATGTTCTATCAATTCTATATTTGTAATGATCATTCATTTAAGAAACATATTATTGCTTAAAGTTTTATGGTTGTAGGACATAAAAGAAATTTAAATTGCAATCTCTATATATTTTTGGTTGCAAATAAATATGACAAGTGATCAGTAAAAGACTTTCAGGCATAAACTATAGTTTTTCTGCAGAAGATAAATAATGGAAATACAAGTTCCAGTTTAAAAAGGAACAATTCACATGTTATGACTTTTAGAAAAAGAATTAGTTCCTGAATTTTGAAAGCGAATAATCATGAGTATCAATCACTGTGATACGCAAATTCTACTGAGCAAATACACACACACATACACACACACACAAGGAATTCTGTGACTTAAAAAAAAAGTTTTAAATGTGAATATTTTCTAAAGACCAAAAAATTCATCCTTTTGAATTGTAGCTTAAACAATTTTTATGGCAACTTAAAAATGTGCAAGGGGTTACATAACTGTGCAAAACTAAAGCAAGGATTTTTTTTGCAGTTAGTCACTTGAGTTACATGGTAACTAGAAGACCACACACTAGAAGGGACTAGAACACCATGACCTTCCCTCAGTCTCAATTTAGCATCTACTTCCAGGCTTGCTGAGTTTTGGAATTCTACTATGTGAAATTTCTTTAAGAGGAATTCTTCAATCAGAGATTTGCCCTTTATGAAAATTCACCTATCCTTAGGAAAGGTTGTACATTTGGCCTTATCAGTCATTTGCAACTGAGAATGAATAAACTTATCATAATTTTTCCCTAAGAAAAGCCTTTGAAAGTGGGGAGCAGGAAGGATCCATTAGGTTTAAGATCCAATAGGTCTTCATAAGGGAAATACAAAAATGCTATGGACGTAAGAATACAACAGGAAGAGAAGCGAGATGCCTCATGGTGTGGAGGAGGTAACGTGACTTCATTTTTTCTTTATACCAATGACATTTCTATGACGATGGGAAGAATCATTCGATGGTACCTAAATTATCAAGTCCTCCTGGTGAATGCAGTTGGGCCCTGAAAACCCACTTACCTAGAAAGCATGCAGATTTAGGTCTGTAACTACTGGAGTGCAAGGGATACCTGCGGTCAAATAAAAAAGTTTCATTGAAATATTAGAGTATGGTTCTGTTTCAGGTGAAAGCAAATCAACACAAGCTTCATACAAGGTCATGCATGTGTATAAAAAGTAAGATGCACACAGAGATGTAACAGGCTGCTACCAAATCAAGGTTGGGTGCTGGGCATTGGTGAGGAGTAAATGGTTAGCTGGGCCTGCATCATCTTAGTATTATTTACATGTATTATTCATTTTATATTGTTCACATGCTTATTTAGAAAAGAACAATCTCTTCCTACCATGCTGTGAGAGTACCTAACACCCTCCCCACCCAACTTCTCAGTGGCTGAAGGGCAGGTGGGCCACCTCATACAAACGCCTGGGTGACTGGAAGCTGGTATTACTTTTATTCTTCCTACCAACCAGGGAGAGGACAGCCTTAGATCAGGTGTTTTTTCCATTCTAGAAGGCTGTAGTTTTGGTGCTTGGAAACCCTGAGCCGCGCAGGCCAGGTGAAACTGGCCATTTGGCCAGGGCCTGATCTCGCCTCTGCGGTAAGTGTCTCTGGGGTCCTTTGTCTCCTGAGACGTGCCTGGAGGATCTCTGCTGCCAGCCAAGTGTTAGGTCACATTCAGTGAGGGAAGGCCATGCCTCTTGCCTGTGTTCTCCTCACCTGCAGGCATTGGACTCCTGTCCCTCCTCTCTCTGCCAGGACATCGGCAAGGCTGGTTGTGACGAGTGTGCACCCACGTTTAGAAAGCATCCTCTTTCCTCATGCTTTCATTCCTGTGTTCTCAGTTGCTGGGCACATGCGCAGACGTCCAGCGCATTCAGTCCTGTATCAGGCCTGACAGCCCGCGGGCCATCCACACCGACACACAGTTCTTCTTTGTGTTCATAGCCTCGAATGACTGAGCAGAGTAGCTGGGAAGGGAAGCACAGCTCCCTGCCTTGATAATAGCCTTGTTCTATCCCCGGATGAGGCAGGAGTATATGAGGAACAGGGAGTCTGCTGATAATTTTCTTCTTTCCTCTCCTGAAGTCCTAAGACACAGTTTTGACTTCCTTAAAAAGTGTTGGCTTTCTAATGTGAATTTTACCAACCCATATTATAACTGTAGTTTGCAGGCTTTGGGCTGCCTTGGGGTATAAGGAGATTATCAACACCAGGGAGGTCTGGAGGTAAATATGTTCAATTTTTGATTAACTACAAGTTAAGTATTTGCTTTGTGGATTATCTGTGACCTATTTGAAATACTGATCCACTTTCTTTCCCATGTGCCGCTGGGCCAGCTCTCCCACAAGGTGTAAATGGGCTCAAGAAACATAAACTAATTTTCATGTAAATCTAGGGGAAGAAAATAAGAGGGAAAGAAAATATATGGCAAAGATAGTCACATAACATGTCTCAAACTCAAATAGAAATGATTTTGTATCATCAGTTCTTCAAGATGATTCAGACCATTCTCAGTTTATATTTAGGAAGTTTCATCAATAATTGGTTGCTCCCTTTTAGCACTGTTAAGTTGTTTTAATTACTCCTCAAAATGCAATACCATATGTATCATATTATATAATCTCTCCACTCTCTCTCTTTCCCTTCTTCCTCCCTCCTCCACTCTCTGCCTCACTGCAGGTGTACCATAGATGACCGGGTCACCCGGGTGGCCTGGCTAAACCGCAGTACCATCCTCTACGCTGGGAATGACAAGTGGTCCATAGACCCTCGTGTGATCATTCTGGTCAATACACCAACCCAGTACAGCATCATGATCCAAAATGTGGATGTGTATGACGAAGGTCCGTACACCTGCTCTGTGCAGACAGACAATCATCCCAAAACGTCCCGGGTCCACCTCATCGTGCAAGGTAAGTCCCAACTGAACCTGGGGTTGCCATTCCCGTCAGCAATAGAGGGGAAGGACAAGTTGGTGTTTGTTCTACTCGTGTATGAAGACACAAAAGTCATCTTCCTCTACTGAATCCAGAGTTTGAGCATATATCTTGGAATTTTTCCCATGTCATGGGTACTCAATTAAGTGCTGAATATATTCTAAAAGTTTCTAAATGTTATGTTTAGTCCTTCTGTTCTCATCAATAAATTGTGTAATGTGCACTGGTTGAGCTCTCATAAGTGACTTAGCACTCTGGAGCTGGGGTGAAATACATTCAAACGTAGATAAATACGGTACTATTCTCAGTGCCTTTTAATTCTCTTTTAGACTTACTTCATAATAAAAGACTAATAATGCTGATTGGAAACCAGGTGATGTGACTATTTTTGCACAGTTGCTGGTCATGTGTGCTCTGGAGGGGTCTCTGAGTGCTGCTTAGGCAGGTCCTCCCTGGCATTGCTGCTGTGTTTAAACACTCTCTTATAGCTCCGCAATGGATCCCAGACCCAAGAAGGAGATTAGTCAGAATGATATCTGCAGGTCAATGTTGGTAATAAATTCGGAAAATTTTAAAAAGGGGGAAGGAGGAAGACTTAGCATCTTCTTCCATTCTCCTTTAACAAATTGTATCACATGTGCATTGTAAAATAGTTTTTCATTTAAATTTTATATTACACCTAAAAAATGGGGCTGAAGAAATGTCAGATTCTCAGATATTAAATATTAAGAATTAAAACCACATGCAGATAGCAGTTCCGAGAATTTGAGAACTGTTTTAAAGCAAGGCAGCAATCCAAATGAATTTATTCTGAACTTGACTCCAACTATCATCACCACGTAAAGTAATTTCTGTCAGGTGTTGGCTCGTGGCCGGAATCAAGTTCTAGGCAGATTAGTTCCATCACCCAGTGACACATCCTTCCTCCACCAAATGAGAGGTTCAGGTGGACTTCTTCACAGCTTCCTTTACAGATCTCTTGTGGACACACAGTGAGCTCTCAGAAAGGGTCCCTATGTGTGATTTCATCTTTAACATCCGTCTTTTCTCAGATCCCATCTGTCATAGATTCAATACATTTTTCTTTCTAGCTAGTGAAATGTATATGGCATCCTTGCTTAGTTAAGATAGATACCTCATTTATGATTTTTTGAAAAAAAGACCTTGATGTTGCTCATTTCAGTTGGTTTCCTGGAGAGCAGTTGTGTGGGGGCTGTCTATTCATGCTTCAGTCACTTGCACAATTCAGGTTGCCTGTTCTTTCCTTTGGGCGCAAGCAGCCAGGCCTACCTCTGTAGCCATTTGTAATGGCATGTGTGGGGCCAGAGAGCTGTCTGCTGCCACTGTTGTTTCCCAGCAGTCCCTGGCACTGCCATGCTGCCTGAAGCTTTGCTCCTGCCCAGCCTCCAAGCCCTGCTCTCCTCCTCACGTCGCCTGCCATCCGACAGACATCTACAGACGCTGTGGGTTTCCACTCTCCATACACATCCACCCACGGGTCTGGAACGACAAGACTGTCTGCCATCTGGAGATCAAGACAACTGTCACATCTGATACTTCTCCTCAGAGGATGACAGAGGCACTTGGTGAGATCAGTCATCGGAGATGAGCTGGGGTATCTGATGAAAGTTTCTGGAGGTGTAGAAAACAAAAGACTGTGAGCTCTCACTACTCCACCTGCCTGCACCTGGGCTTGGTTCCAGAGGAGCTGACATTCTCAGCATCAGAAGTGACACCTCAGTGGCATCTCTGTGGCCCTGACTGCAAAGTTATCTTCAAATTCAGGAAATGTGGCACTGAAATAAAAAAGAACTGCCAGGCACTGGAGAGACACTCAAACCAAGCAAGCCTATCCCAGTTCAAGAAATAAGATAGATAATGTAAGCACATCAAAGTCAATGCACAACATAATGGGCTGGGGGGCTGAGTGACAGGGAAGGATGTCCTCCTTAACACATGTTCAGCAATCCCTTGGGTGGGATGTGGCAGCCTGTGGTGTGTCCCTGTGGGCCTCCAAGCCTCAGCTCAGAAATAGTCTGAGAACAGTGTGGCATCTACTCCAGGGGTCTGCTCCTCAATCTCCACATTCCAGGCCAAGTGACTCTCTGGATCCAGCCCTCTGAGGTACCCTGGGAAGTCCAGAGACAGTCAGTATAGGCAGGGATGAGAGGGGAGGAATTTCTTTTTGGGAGGAGCTTCTCTTGGGGATGACATTCTCTTGAGGAGAACCTTTTCTTGGGGAAGATCTTCTCTTGGGGTTGACATTTTCTTGGGGAGGAGCTTCTCTTGGGAAAGATCTTCTCTTAGGAAAGAGCTTCCTTTGGTGAAGATCTTCTTTTGGGGATGGCTTTTTGGAGAGGACATTCTCTTGGAGAGGATCTTCTCTTGGGGAGGAGTTTCTCTTGATGATGACTTTCTCTGGGGGAGGAGCTTCTCTTTGGGATGATTGAGCTTTTCTTGGGAAGAACCTTCTGTTTGGGATGATCTTCTCTTAGAGAGAACATTATCTTGGGATCCTTGGCAGGCTGGTTTGTACCTTTACTGAGAGGCATAGAGAAGGAGGTCAGAAAGCTGAATTCTTTCATCTTGCTTAGTGATGCAGTGACTTGCTCTTCTTTGGAAGGCAGTTGAATTACCAGACGGTGAATATAGAGACCCCCCTACTCAATTAGAAAGAAGCCCCAGAGTTCTCCTTCTCCCAGCAGTCATCGGCTTTTGTCCAGTCTATAGATTAATTTTTCAGAGTTAGTGTTAGTTCAAGTTAGCTAAAGATAATGAAAGTTTCCTAATCCTCTTAAAGAAAATTTATCTGACTGAGTAGAAAGCTTTTGGAAGACAATAAGGCATGTATAAAACTAAGGCCTAATCTCGCCTTTAATTTTAAAGTGCTGATGGGTATTGATTTTACAATGAGAAAAGCAAAAAAATTGCCGAGCTGCCACTTGTCTGTTTATAAAAACAAAAAGGTGTTTATGTATCTTCTATCCGTTTCAGGAGGTGGGAAGCTGATTCCTTCTGCCAACCAGATGCCATCGGCAGAAGGGAGTGCAGGCCCACGGGGCCCAGCTGTGTGGTCCCACCTGTCATGGGAACAACTGAGAGACACTCTGCCACCAACCTCTCCACCTGCCCTTTCCTGTTGTAGAAGGTGGCCTTTGCCACATATCTGATAGAACTAATTTCCAAATCCTTCTCTTTGAGAACAGAAGCTGCCTTCATTAAAATAGTGTTGCTGATACCTGAGGTACATCTCAGCCACTGAGGGGATCAGCGCAGGCACCGTGTGAGCATGTGACGATATGTTCTAGGCTGCACACCTCAGTGTGGAGGAAATCCAGAGCAAGGGGGAGGCCCCGCTGTGGGGTCAGATTAGTTGGGGGGAAATCAGTCTGGCAGCCCTGCAGAGCAGGAGCTGAAGTGGGAGAAGCTAGAGGCACAAGCAGAGGCAGGAGTGACCCCCCGCTAAGCAGTGCAGCCAGAGTGACCGTGGGCCTACCTGCAAAGGTACAGATGTGCCTGAGAGGCACTGTCCACCGGAAACTCAGAGCTTTCATCCTCATGCCTGAAAAGAGGAAGAATTAAAATGATGTCACCCAGATTTTTAGTTTGGAGAAATGCTAGTGGTTGGGGAGATACGATCTCATGCCAGTTGGAAGGAACAGCGTTGGGCTTACAAGGTCTGGGGATAAAGAACGCACAAACATTATGAAGATATTGCAGAGCTAGGGAACAGGTGTAACCTAACACCAGGAAGGGTATATTTGAGATTCAGCATGAAGTTCCTGGCTGGAGAGTAGGTAAATGTTCTGAGGTTATTCCTAAAGAACAGTAAGAATCATTATTCAGTTATATCCAACCTCAGCACTTAGCACACTGTCTGAGGCATAGTAGGCACTCAGCAAGTGTTTGTACAATGAGCAGAAGCAGATTGATACAGCTCCTGGAGTGGCATAGGGACACACTGAGCAAAAAGCATCTTCCTGCAGATACAGGTAGTGGTGGAGCCAGACTATGTCCAGATAACTTGGAGAGGACAGTCATGGGGGCAAGGTCCCTGGAGGGGAGGGTCCTCCATGTGACACGCTAACAGATTGCTCTGAAAGAATAGCACAAATTCCATGCATTTATATAGTACTTTACAGAGATGGCACAGTCTTTGTCACCTTTGACTCTCACCACAAGCCCTGAGAGACTGCAGTACAATGACTGTTATCTCCATTAGCAAATTAGGTAACTGCAGCTCATGGAGGTTAAGAGCCTGGCTGAGTCCCCAGTGAGTCAGTAGCACAGCTGGGTCTCGAACCAAGGCCACAGCACTTCAAGATGAGTGTCTTTTCAGCGTACTGGAGTCCCTCCAATGCCAACAACATCCAGTTATTTCTCTCCTCCATAGCAATGGAATATTTTTGGGATATCTGCTTGCGCGTGTGTTTTTATTTTTTTCATTTTTCCTTCTACTGATACTGCATCGTAGCAGCAGGAATTGAGGACAAATCTCAAGAACGAAAATTAATGGTGGGAGTGGGACACCACAGCTACAGAAAATGATGTAGAGAGGCTATGAGAGGGGCAAAGAAGGGGATAATTAATTTTCTAGTAGCTCGTCCCTCCAGGGATATGCATTTTAAATGTTACCACTTTATCCTATGTAAGTACTGAAAACCCTGGCCCTTCTGAGAACCCAGAATCTCATTGTCGTTCTAATTGTCATGAACTCTTTGGCATTCTGAAACAACGCAGAGACCTATGTGTACCTGTGGCATGTCATTGCTGTTGTTTGTTTGTTGAAGACAGACGGAGTAAGAAGATCCGTCCGTGGTTGCTTCTTGGATGTTGGCATTCTCTACCTGCTCTCCTGCCTTGTTCGGAAATCTCTTCACTACAGGGTACTTCTTTTCATGGAATGAGCTCCTCTTGCTAAGCCTCATTTTATGCAGACGGCTAGAAATAATGAATTTTATTAAATTCTTACATTGGAGGCTCCACAGTAAGCTTATGCCATTTCTATGTAAACAAAAGACTCTGGATCTCTTAGCATGGTGTCAGTTCAGTGGAACTGGTTGGTATCTGAAGTTGAGCTTTGCATGTAAAGAAAAATGGGTTCCCAGCCCTGCCAGTCCTAGATATTGCTGTTCATCAACCAACCTCAGCACTGGGCGTGCTAAGTATAAACATTATCTCAGCCGTTCCTTACATCTATCTACTCTACAAAATATACACTGTAGTCATGTTTACAAATTAGGAAATGGAGGCTTAAAGATTAACAACTTACCCAACGCTGATGCAGTTGCCATGTGCTTTAAATCCCTTTCACTAGACTTACTCATTGAGGTTAAGCTTTTTTCTAGAAAAAAAAAAATTATCAAAATACAAATAGCTAACAAGGCACTTTACACACATTATCTCTTTTGATTATGCTTCCCAAAAGTCCAAGATGACAGAATAGAAAGGCACATCTTTCCAAGACAGGAAAGTGAGATTCAGAGAGCTGGAATTGATTTGTCCGAGTTACACGAGGGAGGAAGTGGCAAAGGAACACCCAGGGCAGGGTGTTTTCACTCCATAGCTGGCAGTGTTCAATGCACCACTGAGAGCTAAGTAAGTGGACAGGTACCCGTTCTTATATGAGAAAAATGTCAGCCTTCAGAGGTGCTCCTGAAAAGGGTGGGGCTCTGAGGAGACAATTCTGGGGTGGGGGCAGCACGTAGATGCTGGGCTTGCACCAAGAGGCACTTGCAGCAGGGCCAGGGAGACAGGGCCATAGGTCACGATTTTGCCAGGGACTCAGCTATTTTCAAATGTTTCTTTGTAACCAACCTCTTTCTTTGGCTATTTTCTCCTCTTTTCCCAATCATTTAAACGAACATGTACGCTTATAGACTTAAAGAAAAGAAAGCAGTTAACCTGAAATACATTTAATGTATTCAGCCTCTATTTAAAATTGTCATCACATTGATTCTTCACAAAGGCAGGGTAAAGGAATGGAAAACAGCAGGACCCACCAGCAGAACGCTCACTCCCCAGCCTGAGCTCCGCTCCTAACAGCGCAGGCCTGTGTCACTAAGACATTCTCCCAGCTTCTTATCATGGGGTGAAGAGTAGAATTCAGACAATTGATTTTCTTTATGTGCATGTATGCATACTTTAATCCTATGTATACTGCTGTGGTTTGTGTATGTGTGCGTGCATGTCAGTTGAAAATAAGATTCTGAGAAGGTGTCTCTATGCTGCAGATTCTATGTGTGTGTGCAGATGAAGCACACAGCCAAAATTAGGGTAAGAACTTTTCTGGGCATCATTTCCTTAACTTTGCAATGGAAGGGTTGAACTGATGGTATAAAAGTTCTTTCTAGTTGTTCTGTGTTAGATTTCTCAGTATAATTTGCCTGGAGTATCTGTGCGTGATCAGGTTGAACTGATGGTATAAAAGTTCTTTCTAGATGTTCTGTGTAGGATTTCTCAGTGTAATTTGCTGGCGTATCTGTGCGTGATCAGGATTGTCTGCACTCTGTGCCTCTCCTACCTTCACCACGGGATAGGGCAATTATTAGGTTGCTGTAAAAGTAATTGCAGTCCTTTGCCATTTGCACTTTCTATTTCTTATTTGTATTTTCTTCAGAGGCTTTAGGATTTGGGGTCCCATGCTAACACTGCTAGTTAGGGGTGACTCTAAGCCTTGCTATTCACCTTTTTGGTTAGAGAAGGTAGAAGAGAAAGATAACCTTTGCTTCTCAGTTCTTCTCTGACATTTGTCACCTCCCAGCCCACTTCAAGCACACACGTATTTAATGGATGGTGGGATGGAATTCCAGAGACCACAGAGGAAATAGCAATAAAATCTATAAAAACTATGTGAGTGTGTGTATGTGACTGCAAAAGAAACAGATGTGAACCCGTGAAAACTATGTGTGTATGTGAGTGTATGTGTGAGGCCATTTGTGAGTGTGAGTGTGTAAATGGTGCCTCTGTGTGTCTTAGTTCCTAAGCAGAGCAGAACAAGCAACATACTTCTCCTCACAGCAGTGGGAGAAGGCACCTGATAAATGGGGACGTCATCAAACCATATATATGTATAGGTGTATGTAAAGATACACGTGTATATATGCTGGGATATACACATATACGTATATATGTTCGATATTTGAGATGTATATATGTGTATGTACATGTGTGTATATACACATGCTTTATGGAAGGGTTGGGGTAACTAAGAAGGCAACTATAACATAGAAGGGATCAAGAATGAAGTTACTATCCGGAATACTCTGTATTGCACATAAAGGAAGGGATCTCACCCTTCACTGGGAGGGTGTCCCCACACTGCCGTCTGCACCTGCCCCGCCCCCTGCCCTCAGGGTTAGAGCAAGGCTGCACTCACCCCACCATGCAGTGGTCCTATCCAGCTCTCAGACTCCGTTTCTCACATATTACCTGAATATGACACCATGTGTAGCCAGAGTAAAATCGATGTCGACCTTCACCGAGTCTCCTATGTTGTGACCTTTCATGACATTGTGTGTAGTTGGTGACAATACAGTCAAAACATGATTTGTAAAAAAAAAAAAAAAAAGAAAGAAAAAAAGATTTCTTCTTTTATCAGGTCTTTTCTCCCATTGTTTTGAGGCTTCGTTCTGCTCTGCTTTGTAACTAAGACACACACACGCACCACGTACACACACATACACACACTCACAGACATACTCACACATTCACACATACACACTATTACACACATACAATTTTCGTGAGTTTTATGCCTGTTTCTTCTGTACCCACACACATGCACACACACACACTCACATAATTTTTATAGGTTTTATAGCTATTTCCTCTGTGGATAAGGAAAAGTAGGTCTTTTCCAAGGTGAGTGAGACCAAAACAAAATGTGACCCTGGATGAATACATGTTCAGAACAAAGGATGGGTGGGCACCGCCACGGGGCAGCACTTCTGCCTGAGCGTCCTGGCTGGGGAAAAGGCAGAGAGGCAAATTGTCATGATCCAAGAAGATGCTGCCAGTCCTGGCACCTGGATTGATGATTTATACAGTAGCCAGAAAAGAGAAGTGTCAGAACCTGGGGCTGTCATCTGCCTTATTTGCAATAGAATTAAATAAACAGAGCAGTCATAATGCCTGTTCTCAGAA